TCTCTCTCTCTCTCTGGCATGCTTGTACACACACACACACCCTAACTCACACACTCTCTCTTTGTCTCTCTCTCTCTCCCCCACCTCCTCTCTCAGTCATAGAACTCACTATGTATGTAGACCAGGCTGGTCCTGAACTCACACTGATCCACCTGCCTTTGCCTCCCAAGTGCTAGGATTAAAGGCATGCACCGCTACACAAGGCAAAAGTCAACACGTAGTCGGCAGGATTCGAACTTGTGTGGGGAAAAACCCCACTGAATTTCTAGTTCATCGCCTTAACCACTCATCCACAACTACTCATTTATTATTTTTATTTTATGTGTATGAGTGTATTGCTTGCATGTAAGTCAGTACACCCATGTCATACAATACCTGCTGAGGTCAGAAGAGGACACTGGATCCCCTAGAACTGGAGTTATGGATGGTTGTTAGCTGCCATGTGGATACTGGGAACTGAACCTGGGTCCTTTAAGAGCAGCCAGTGCTGAGCCATCTCTCCAGTCCCAACATACTATAATCTTAACGAGATATTTCAGAAGAAACTGCAAAGAAACACACACACACACACACACACACACACAATCTTTTAAAAACTAACTAAATCTTTTAAAAACTAACTAACAACTAACTAACTAACTAACTAACTAACTAACTAACTAACTAACAACAAGAAGCCTGGAGGGGCAAATGGCAGCACCAAGCCACATCTGGACCCAACATGTTCTTTGCCTACTGCCTGGCTGCTCCCTCCTCCATTGCAGTCTCTTGTAGTTCATCCTTACTATTAGAAACTGACCTCTAAAGCCCAGTCCAGTGTGTGAGGCCAGTTACAGAATCTCTCAATGGAAAAGAAAGACCAAAAGGGAGAGACTGATATGGGGGAGGGGAGACATACTGGTGCCCAGAGGCAGAACTGCAGCTTAACATAAAGGAGACCCAGGAGGAGGCAGGGCACTTCACTCTGACTAACTGGGACACTTCCTAACCTACTTGTTCTAAGACTAAATTTTTAGAGAGCAAGAACAGAGGTTTGATTCATATTTTGTATCCTCTGAACTCTAATTCAGTACCTGCACCTGCCATTATCCATGCATTTAGGACTTATTAAAAGTGTCATAGCTATACAATATTTCTACACTATTAAATGTAAAATTTGACAAAAAAAAAAAAAAAAATACCCAGAAAGTACTAATTACAAATAGTATCAACAGTTTGTAGGACCCATTCTTTTTTGTTGGGGGGGGGGGTCTTTTCTTGAGAGAGGGTCTCCCTGTAGCCCCAGCTTTCCTGCAACTCACTATGTGGACCAGGCAGGCCTTGAACTCACAGAGATCTGCCTGCCTCTGCCTCCCAAGTGCTGAGATTAAAGGCATGCACCACCACACCAGCTTTAGCAATTAGGCTTTACAATACTATCTACAGCTTGTTTCTGAGAAATTTCAAAATATTTAGCAATTTAAAATGGGGGGGGTAGTTGAAATAAAGGCTGGAGGGCTGGGTGTGTGGTGGTGCCTTTGATCCCAGTCCTTGAAAGACTGGTGGAGCTCTGTGACAGCTCTGTGACTCTGAGGCCAGCCTGGTCTACACAGAGAGTTCCAGGCCAGCCAGGGTTATATCATGAGACCCTGACTCTAAACAACAAAAAAAGGGCTGAAGAGATGACTCAGTGGTTAACAGCAGTGGTTGGTCTTGTAAAGGACCTGAGTTCAGTTCCCACCATCCAAATGGAGGCTCACAACCATGGGAACTCAAGTTCCAGGGGATCCGACACCCTCTTCTGGCTTCTTTAGGTACCAGGCATGAATGTGGTGCACATACATACATGTAGACAATACACACATAAAATAAGTGCTGTAGTCCCAGCACTTGGGAGGCAGAGGTAGGCGGATCTCTGTGAGTTCAAGGCCAGCCTGGTCTACATAGTGAATTCCAGGACAGCTGGGGCTACAGGGAGACCCTGCTTCAAAAAGACAAAACACACACACACACACACACACACACACACACACAAAAAAAAAAAACCCCCACACACACACACACACAAGAAAATGTCTGCTATGGTTCATTTCTGAATTTC